CAAGAATGAGGGCTCGCTTCACACAAAGAGTTAGCAACACTTACGACATCTAAGCATTAGGGCTTCAAAGCAATCTCTGAATGCCATGAGTTTCTGCAGCTTCTTCCAAAAGGTATGTCACCGGCCTAGGAACTCTGGGCTACTTTCCTGTTCCCAAGGAAAGCTCAAACCTTAGACACACTGCTAAAATGGAAGCCAAAAAAAGCTTCTTTTTTTTTTTTTTCTTCTTCACAGGATCAAATTCTGTTCTCTGAAGGGGCTATCCTTATTCAAGTAGCAAAGGACATGAAATTTATCTTTCTGCCATATACTGAATAAGAGGAGGAGCTTATTAGAGACTGGAAAAAAGGCTGCCTGTTAAAACACAAGCAGTTTTAAAGATACCCCATTATTGTTGTGATCAGTGGTGTTACTGCTGGAGTAACAAAGAGAAATGAAGACAGTTCTGATGAACTGGGATAGGCTGATCCACTGGAATAGGTTGTCCAGACAGGTGGCAGAGGCCCCATCCCTGTGGACATTCAAGATCAGGCTGGATGAAGCTCTGAGCAGCTTGATCTAGTTGGAGATGTCCCTGCTTATGGCAGGGGGGTTGGGCTAAATGGACTTTGGAGGTGGCCTCCCGGCAAGGCAGAAGCATCTTAGAGGTACTTTCCTCACAAACATGACATCATACATAATGCTCACCACTTGCAGAAGAGGGATTTTAGGAGGAAAATGCATGAGGACGAAGTAGTATCTTATTACCACTCCAAAATAGTGTGGACTTACATTTCCAGATTATTTGCTAGGAATCTTCTATTTGTCACTTCCTGCAGAAACAGCTCTTTGTACCTTTCCAGTTGTACCTGCATGCGTTGTTTTATAGAAAGAATGTCTTGTAGGGTACTTTTTTTCCTATCCAGTTCACGTTCGAGATCTCTAATTCTGCGTTCTAGCTGGCTACGCAGTGAAGCATCATGACTGGCTCTCTTTTGTTCTATTCTGTCTCGGGAGGCTGCCTGCGCCTGAAGCAGATAATGCACTTTCAACAACCACAAACTAAAAGAGAATTTACCAGTCACTTACATGTAACCCAGTTTCAAGAGCCCATCTTTGCTCAGTGAGGCAACTGTGACTGCTCACTACCATCAGCAATCAAGGCTGAACCCTGGAACTACCATGTCAAATAATTCTTTAAATTCAGAAATAAACCCCCTACCCCCTGCCCTTAGTATTATTGTTAACCAAAGCTACTAATGAAAGAACAGTATCTCTGTAGTGCGGGGCATACAGGAAGGGATTCCTCAAAGAAATTATGAGTACCTCTGACCTCCCTTGCAGCTTGGGTGACTTATTTTCTGAGCACTTTCCCCTGTACAGTGACAAAGCAGGGCCTGTTGGTCTGGCCATTTTGGCCCCAAAAATGAAATATTAAACAATTATAGTCACAAGAGAAGTACCTAATAAAGACTATAGACATAGGTGAGAAATTCACTTACCTGGAAAAACAGAGTGAGTTCTCATATTCCTTGACTTACTTCTTGCTCAGCTTCTTCTTCCATCTTTCTTTTATATTGTTCCATTAGGCTACGATCCACCATGTTAGTCTCCAAATGATGTCTGAGGCTAGCCACCTCTTCTTCCAGCTGCCATTTGGTCATCTTCAGTTTTTCATGGTTCCCATGCATGGTGGACAACTCTTTTTGCAAAGCCTGCTTTTCTACTTCTAGTTGCATGCATTTTTTAGACTCCAGCTGCTGGCAAAGTTCACCAACCTGCAGAAAGCAAAAAAGTAACTCAGAGGAATGTAAAATTAGTAAATTCTGTGACAATCTGTAAAGGGGTTGGCCATCGAGACTGTTTTTGTCATCTGCTGACTCAGTATTAAAGCCAAAGTGCAACCAGGCACTTCTTCTGAGAGAACAACAGCTTTCACTTTATTCCTGATAAGATCCCTGAGGTTCCCATCCTTTCTCGGTTCTTCTGCAATAGGTCACAGACCAAGAGGTGCCAAACTAGCAGCGTTTCACTCGTAGGGCTAGACTGAAAAGCACTAGGGTTGCTCCATAAGAGGCTCATATGCTTATGAGAAATCAAACACCCGTACCTAGTCATCTCCTGGTTTCATCAGAAACAACATGTATCATGCCATAGAGGAATTGTTACATGCTGTCAACACAGTCAAACCTGCATGGCAGAACTGACAAGGCAAGGAGCGGGTACGTTTTTTTCCCATTACACTGAAAGACTGATAAACAGTGGTTCAGAACACAGCTTCTACAGCAGTGGTGGAAGAAAAAGTATTCTAGGTCAAAACTGCAGCTTATTTTTAAAAATTTGCGGGAAATACCAGACTTTTAACAGGCTCCAGTGGTCAACTACAGCTCCATTCTCCTCTTCCCCTCTCCAGAAACATACCTCTTCTATACCTAACTGAACACAAAACATGATGTCTGGTCCTTTATTAAAAAAAGGAGGAAACTCGTACAGTAAACACTACAAAGAGTAACTTTAAGAAAGGAGAAACTTTAGACTTATTTAAAACTGCCTAAATGTAATGCACTTCCCCATTGTTCAAAGTAACTCTTCCAACAGAAATGCAAAAATGCTACTAACTTTAGGACTGCAAAGGCAGTTGACTCACTCTGCATTGCTTTCTAAAAGCAAGCGTAGCTTGGAAACACAGCTGCTTTAGCAGCAGATCTGGGTAACGAGCAGAGAAGCAGATGAAAAGTTACATGGTACTGAACAGCCAGAGCAACCTTAAAAGCACTTCTGGGAACTCCACTTCTAGGTCCCCAGGACAAGGGAAAGACAGGCTGAGACAGCTACTAGAGAAAGCTAGGAAAAAGGGGAAAGACTGCCCCTTGGAAACTGGCAGCCATTTCTTTTTTCTCCAGCATTACTTTATTTGGCCAGAATTCCTTCAGTACATTTTTCTCCACGGCTTTTAAGCTCCCCCTGCTTGGAAAACATGCAGCAGCTCCTCCATACAGTGCACTGGAAACATGAAGCATTTTAACTATGCCAAGAAAACGCAGGGACAGATGACCAGAAAGAACCCAAGGAAAGAACTCGGGAACTGCAGCCTTGTGCTCCGTATCTGCACATACCCTCTGCCCAAAGTCCTGTAATCATTTAAAGGACATTCAGACCTTCACTTCTACTAGCAAATGAACACAACCTGTGTTACTTCATCATCTTTTACATTGGCCTGTGCCATCCCTCCACTGACCTCCTGTAGCACAGCTCTAAGCACCAACACTGCCCTTCCCAGCCTTCTGGCGAATCGTGACAATCTCTGTCTCCACCTCTTTGCTCTTCCATGAAAATAGGAATGAAAAAGTTCATCCTTCTCCTGAAATGAATTCACAGTGCCACCAGAAGGAGATTAAGAAGATTGTTATTTCAGACTTCTGAGGCTTCTCTACTTCCCCTGTCATAAGAACACTGCCAAAGGCAGTCCCTGCCTCAGAAAGTAGCTTACAGTTAGTTCACTTGCAAGAAGACTGCTTAACGATGGCAAATTACAGAAGGGCCAAAGAATGATGAGGGTGGAAATATATATGTATGTATATATGCAGAATAAATTACAAAGGCATTTAGAATTGACAACATGATACCAGGTTGGAGAAGTGGGGAGCAGGCAGTGGGTAGGGCAACCACAGACAGCACAAAAATTTGAAGAAACAACCAGTCCAATATTTCTACCGTTGTTCAGGAATCAGACAGCTTACCTGGCCAAACCAAGTAAGTTATAGGTCCATCACTTTATTTTGTAAAGCACCTTAGCAAACAGAAGACTTTGTACAAGTAAGGGCATAGTGTCCTCATGTCAAAGAACTTCCAATCATGAACACCAGGTTTATAAAACTGCGCAATTTGTTCACACATTAGATCTATCCTGTTGAAGTTTTTCTAGAGCTTTACGGACAACATCCACTCTACTCTCAACAGCCACTCTCAGATTTATTCAGAGAATTACAGTTAATTATTTACCTTGCTTTTAACCTCCTGCAATCCCATCTGCAAGCACAATTTGTCTTCTTCTAAGTCTCTGAGGTAGTATTTAGTATCTTCAAGTGAGGCTTCTGACACAGATTGCTTTTTAAGAGCATCAGCAAGCTTCTGCTGCAGCTCTCTGACCTTGCCCTAAGGAAACAGGTAAATGAGCACGAAGACGACTAAGGACAGGAAATATACACTTATTTAAACTTATTGGATTATACGATTAGGGCTGTCTTTGGAGTGTACTCAAAGGTATGACATTTTGCTTGCCACCAGCAGGCATCTGCACAAATTACGACCTCTCTTTTTCAGTGAACACCTCAGGCTCAAATATGGTTCTTCTTGGAACAACACACAAGCACCCACTGAAATATATTTTTTTCCTAACAAAACACAAAGAAATCTGTTGTGATGTAAGAGTTATGCTTGACTGCAGACATTACTCTGATGACCAAAGACTTTTTATTAGATCATTCTTGGTTTTATTCCTCCACTATTCAAACCTAAGTAAATGAATAGATATAGCCGACAGCTTTTTTGAGAGATATGTTGGGTAACATCCTCTTGCAGTCTTCTTACCAAGTTCACTTTAGAGAAATAACTGCCTTTGTTCTGACAGATTACATTTACAAGAATCTGGACATTTCATATCTAACTAGTATCTTCAAAAGGAAATTGTTATTTTGGTAGTAAGAATACCTGCTTGAGTTCACGCTACCCCTTTAAAGTAACTGACAAATGAAGAACATCTGACACATACAGCTATTTAACTCACTCAAAAATTCTGGATTTGTCATGAAGAAAGAAATGTGATTTTAAATCAGCATCCAAATCAGTAATGGAGACAAACTTTACATGAGAGTGTCCAAATACTGAATGCCATTAGATCCTATTTTCCAGAAGGTAAAGGAAGATTAAACAAAATGGGTATGACAACTTTTAAATCATTGCTCTACCTGGAATTGGTAGAATACTCTATCAATAAAGGAGACCCTACCTGCTCCTAGGAACATATTTAATAATGCATTCTCCCATTACTTATAGCTTTTTCAACTGTCTACCTATTCTTCACTCCTACACCCAGCTTTATTCTCTTCCACCCTTTTTCTTGACAAAAAACATCTAAATGCAAAAGTGGGACCACCACTTGGGTCGTGCACTTTTGAACGACTTAAAATGTTAGTGCTCTGCAAAGGAGCATGTTTTGCACTTATGTGCTATGTCAATTTGCTGAAAGACAGTTTAACTGATGTCTAAATTATCTGTCTGTTCAGTGAATTATTTTTTCAGAGTCACAAAGAAAGAACACCTCTGAAAAATGGCTACACATCATAAAATCGAGAAGAGAAAGCTTAGATCAGTGTCTGAAATGAACTTCATGAGGAATAGGCAGGCCCCTTAGAACCCTTTAAAACATGTACATAAACACCTGGACACTACTAATACTCTTCAATTTTGTTAGCAGCTTATGAGGAAATGATATTTTTTTTTGGTCTCTAGGAGCTTAATATAAAGCCATTCCCCACCACTTCGTTTGTCTTCATTTCTCAACCCTTGCATATTGGATGGTTCTTCCCTTTATACCACTCTTATTTGTGTCATCTGTGACATAAATATACATCAACCACCAAATACAATCATTCTGTAGGGCATAAAATGGACTATGGAAGAAAGATGAATAAAGTTCTAGAGAAGAATCACCTTTCTTGACCAAAGCTTAGACTTGGATACCTCTCTTCTGTTTTCTGCTCGTATCTGAGCAGTAACATCCTGTTTGCCAAAACCTTCCACAATTCTGAGAGAAATATGACAAACCAGAACAAATCAGCATTATCTGCTGCCATGCACCTAAGTTATACCTGGTACATTTAAAAACAGAAAATAATCTCAAGAACTGAAACACTTTAAATTGTTCTAACTATATACTTTACCTCTCTTTCTACTTTCTCAGCTTCATATTTAGAGACTTGCTCTATTAAATCAGTACACTTGGCATTTAATTCTTTGTTTTTCTCTTCCACTAGGCAAACTTGCTTCTCAGTAATAGCTCTGAGTTTGTTGAAAATATCATTAAACCATTCCTGCACATCATTCACTACTTTTTCTTGGATGATCCCCTTGTTCTGCACGTCTTCCAGGTGCTGATGGAGTAGAAGGTTCTCGCTCTGCAGCCGGGCCAGACGCTTCTGCATGAACTCCTGCTTTATTATAAATTTGCTTACTTGATCTTTCTCAAGTTGTCGAGCACGTTCACATTCCTTTGCCTGACACTTGGCTTGACTTAATTCTTTTTGTGTCGTTTCTAAAAGCAATGTTTTTTCTCTGAGTGCTTGCTTCAGCTGGTGAAGCTCATTTTTGAGATTATTGGCTTTGCTTTCAGCTTTACTCAGCTGCTTAGACAAGCTCTTGTTGCTTTCCCGCACATCAGAGAGGTCATGATGGAGCTTGTCCTGCGAGAGAAGCCATTCATCACGTTCTCTCTGAAATGTTCGTTCAACATCATTTTTGGATAGCTGATGACGTTCAAGTTCTTGATTAGTAGTGTTCAGGCGGGAATGAATTGATTCAATTTCTGTCTCCAGTCTGTCCCAGCTTCCTTTTGACTGCTCAAGTTCGGAAGTTAGCACTGCAGATTCTGTCTTTAATAAGTTCAGCTGTCTGTCATGCTGTAAAACTGTTTGCTTTAAGGCTTCCTTGTTCAGTTTAAGCTCCTTTCTGAGATATTCATTTATTTCTTTCAAGGTCTTGTTTTCCTCTAAATATTTTCCTCCTTCTTCCTGGTGCCTAAGTCTTACTTGATCAAGTTCTAGCCTTAGCATAGCAATCTCATCTTGTAGTAACTGATTTTTGTACAACAGATCCTTTTCTCTCTTGATGTCGGATTCCTGAATGACAGGGAACATGAATAAATAGCCAGTTGGGAAATGAATCTACAAAAACACCTCAGCATCAAACTGCATTTTAACATTTCTAATACTGAAGCACGACTTCAAGATGGGGGTGAAATTTCAGGTAACACATAAGCTACTCTATGAACCCATGGAGGTGTACAATGTGTTCACACACTGGAAGTACCTTTAAATGTTTACATCCAAAATCTAAAATACCTTTTTTTTTCTAAAACCAGCAAACAAACAATAAAATCATTTAAATATCTCAAGTATAAAGCTTTTAAAATGACAGTCCTTTATTGTATGTGCGTGCCTTTAAAAATATTCCTCTTAGAGGTGACCTCAGCCATGTTACAAAAAGAAGTAACATCCTTGGTAAAATCCAAGGCTAAAAAGGGCATTTTTCTTCTTGTACTGCCTTTCCTCTTGTATCAGCTCTCATATGTCTTCTTTAGGCCAATCTTTTTGTATCACTGAAAGTTAGCTGTACAATTTAATCATCCCCGGAACGAAACAGTCTTGTACATTTCCTGTTTATTTTACATACATAAAAACCTTTTTCCACATAAACGTGCTTACTTACCCTACATTAACTAGGCAGCACAGCCAAGGACAAATAATTCTTCAAAGCACTGGATGTTCTTAGTAAATTCAGTAAACTCTTAAGATTTTTTTTTTTCCCCACAGTGTTTCTGATTGGTTTATCTTCTCTAATTATTCTAGCAGAGTTTTATTAATTGCTGATATTCCTTCATAAAATTTTACTATGTGGAGGTGGAAAACAAGGGCATTCTTGAAGTAAGTTAGTTTGATAAGGGAACAAATAATTGGAAAAAAACCCCAAACAAGTAACACTTTTTTTCTAACAAGTTAAAGTTAAAATAACACTTTTGCTAACACAAAGAATGAGTGTCAACTTCCTTCCCGGTCAACCCTGACATAGGTATCTAGGCAGTTCACTGTTAGAAACCTGAAGTAGTGATAATAAAATGTTAATGCAATGTAAAATAACAGACAGCTTAAGAAACAGGGTGAATAGTGTGTTCTGTTAGTTTCCTACTTGACAAATGCTGTTCACATACATTCAGGACCAATACTGCTTTCCAGAACTTTGAAAGACGTAATGGAAAACAGAATAGGCATTTACACAGTCAAGCTGCTTTGGTAGACTGTAAGTAATCCATAAAGAAGCACAAAAAAAATAGATAAGATTTCTTATGATTTCAGAATGAACATGGTGAAATCTAATTATAAAGAAATTCTGCTCACCTCTGAATTTCTACCTATAGTTCTACTTGTCTCTTCTAGTGCTTTCTGTCTGCAAAGGTGGTTGTTCACAATCTCTTCTTGCAGGGCTCTGGCACT